TTGTGACACTTCTTCGGCACCATTTCCTCCTGCGATTGCTTCCAGTTTTGCGGTTATATTAACGCCCTTATCATCACATCTGTCGTCAACTCTTGCGGACTTCTTCAGCACTCTTGCAGTCGTTATATTGTCTTAACTCTTGTCTCGAGTTTTAGATTAGTTTTTAAAATTAAAAAATTTGTTTTTTAAATGTAAACATATTTTGCTATCTATACGTGAAATAAGTCTTATCTCTAAACACCATATAATTAGCTATAATTTGCAATCAATTAACTATTCATACGTTTAATACATGTTATAATCACTCATGACTTCAATGTTTACTTTAAAGCAAATATCAATGAATACACCATTAGTTCAGACAATATGACATTAATTGGCGTTTAGATTGTTATGTAATATAATAGCCGTATATGTGGTGTACATATGGTGTGAATGACCCTCACATGCATTCAATACATACTGAGTGAACGGTTATTAAATAGATTTAATTATGGATTTCATGAAAACACTTGTGATTAACGCATTCAATAACAATAAACAATACGACAAACAGTAGAGGTATTCATAGACGTGCCATAAATATCGTTCAGTTTACCACTGTTTGCGATGACTTTTGAATTTTAATTAAAAAGTTTTTTATTTGGGTTTTAATTTCTTTTACTTTAAGTATTTTTTGGGAATTTTTTTTAATTTTCCCGTATTTTTATGATTTCCCGTATTTCCCGTAATTTTCGGCTCCTTTTTATGATTATGTTTTGCATTTTAAATTGGTTTGTCATCAGATTTGCCGCATATTTAATGCCATACTATCTATAGATATGAACTTCTGGTTAAACAAGAATATTATTTTTTATTCGCTTTTTATAATGTAATGATTGTTTGAACAGTAATTTATAAATCAATAAATCATTTGTCTTTAATAGGATTCTTTCATGCAATCATAGATTATGTAAAACATATCGTAAGAGATATGCTTTTAATTTAATTTTAATGACTATTATATGATATTTACATAACTATTGCTTAACATTGTTTGGAGACTAGCGATAAGAATAGTTTTCTAAATAGTACCTTGGTATTCTATTTGCATGTTTTATTGTTTGTTCAGTGCTAATTTGAAAATATTTTTTCCATAATTATCAAACTAATTGAGTCTTGGTTTATTATAGGAATATTAATGATGTGGAAAAATTATTATTTTAAAACAACATATTTTAATTGCTGTTTAATAATAAATTTACTTTTAATGTTATCAAAAAATTATTAAATATTTATCCATTGATCCAAATTTTTATAAATATGTTTTGTTTGTTTTTTAATTATCAGATAATTTTAAGTGGTTTATAAGAATAGGGATTAAAATGTAATCATTAAATTCATACTTTTACTGTATATAGGATTAGGAGTGCAGTGTTTAAGTCAACATTCAAATTAAACAGCAATTTCAGTTTCTATTCGCCCCTAACTGTAAGTGTTATTGTGTGTGCTTTCACTGCAATACACGTAATACATGAAAATGTTACGAAATTCTTGTTTTACAAAACGTTGCATAAAAGGGGCACAAATAGGGTCGGTATGGGAGCCTAAAAACTATGCCCATATTAGACACGTTTGTAAAGTACATATAATTTATGGACATTTGTTTCAAAACAAAAACATTTGATTTGAAATTGTTTTGTGAAATCAATAAACAAAACATGTTTTCATTCATTAAATCGCGATTTCATTCAAATTGATTGCATTTAACGATATTTTCGCATAATTTCTACCCATTTATCAAATCAATGAAAACTATATTTGTTTTGTCGTGAGTTTTGCAATCATTTTCGCAATAAAACTCACATTTATTTGCAATCAAATCAGTGATCAATATATTGATGAAGATTTCGTTTAATGAATGAATTTTGTAGTGAAATATCAATGCATTTATAAAAATAAGTTTTTTTTATTGTCTTTCTCTCACTGTTTGTAAAGTAATTGTGGTTTGCCTTCAAAATAATGATCAGATTATCGCAAAAAATCAAAGAAAAACAATCGGAAGAAAACAATAATCAACGGAAGAGACCATTGATTAGAGACACTCTTCTGCTGAAAGGTGTGTCCACTGAGCCATTGATATCATGTGCTAACCATTGCTTGTCTTGAATCGGTTCCCAGAGGTGCAAGAGATGGAGAGACAGATGCCGGACACGTGTTATGTGGTGTTTCCCAACGCCAACGAGTTGTTCAGATTTGATCTCTGCATCACTCCTTCTGGAGACGAGTGCTTTTGGTCCGGAGGAAGGTTTTGGTTCGCCATCGATGTGCCCAAAGAGTACAATATTCTGGTAATACGAGCAACAGATCCATTGACT